TTAATAGAAAAGATTTATGAATGTGTATTTTAATTTTTTGGGCATATTTATCTTCCAGAAGAAGAAAATGAAGTAGGTAGTGACTGTAGTAAATATGGGAGCATTTTTTTAATTTGATTACAGTTGTCTACTTATTGAATAGTGTTTGTAATTCTATTTAAACCTAATAAACAAATACGCCGAATCATCAAGACCGCCAGAAACAGGGAGATTTCTGTTTATAGTCATGGCTTGAGCGCGTTACAATCTATTTTTTTCTGATAAATATGTTCCACGTATTACAACAAGACGTACTGATTATTTGATTCCATAAGTGTAAACCACACCATGTAAAAATGCACAGTCACTTTTACGCGCTTCTGATATGCACCGCTATAGAGCTGCGACAGTGAGCAAGAACGCATACTGTCGACAGGCTCGTGGTGTGCGTAGGCGAGTGAACTTTGTTACTCATTTTCAACTCAGCGACCAGGAAAGCCGAGAGACTGGAATTTTGCAGGTGTGTTCCCAGTATACGTACTATCCTTTCAATATGTCGAGTGTACTACAGTCACGTTAAAGTCAGCATTTAGCGCCGTGCCAATTCAGAGACTAGCAAGAAAACAATAGTCAAAACTTTGTCAGAATATTTGTGGTCAGTCTGGGGGATCATGTAATTAAAACGAGTTTCGATTTTTAGTTGCCGGCAACTTAGTGTACTTCAAGGGTATTTGTAGCGAAGTGCTCGAAATAGAAACAGTGCTCGAAATAGAAAGCTCGTCGAGTAAAATATATTCCAGTCAAAATTCCTTCTACAGTATCTCTTGAAGAGCGATTGCCGGTCTTATCGACAAATCAAAACAGCAAATTCCCGGAAAACTGCGATTCATAGCAAGCACTTCCAGTCGGGAACAGCAAATTCCCGGAAAACTGCGATTCATAGCAAGCACTTCCAGTCGTCCACTAGAGCGCCACGCTCTACCCGTATTCACATCCGTATTGGCTGGCGAGGTATCAATAACCCTTTTACAGAACAAAGTGCAGTCCTGCTCCTCAACATTGGGCGGCTAGTACAATACAAACATCGATTTAATCACAACGACGGGCGCGCAGCAATTGTTCTTCCATCTTCCATCGCATACATGACAGCTTTTTTGTTTTTCGGACAAGTTGAGAGGCCGAAGCCCTGCAGGAGTATTCCTTATTCACCCTTTGTTTAAATATAACCTAGAAACTAAATTTTCCCTGCGTAAGGGCGCTACAAATACACAATTTTTTGCAATCTCAAAAGCGAGTACGCTTTAAGTGTTTCTTAATCCTTCTGTTTTGACACCTTGTGCATTGTCAAATTTGGATTTTTCGATTAACCACAGCTTTCTAGAAAAACGGCCGTCTTCATGTAGAACTGATAATAGTAAAATTTATAATACAAATATGAATTGATGGAACGTACGCTGATGAGTGCTGTACGGTATGAATGCGTGGTGGAAGCGTGCTGCGAACCTGAGACGTGATGTTTACGGTAAAGACCCAGAGAGGATATGTTGGACCATAGTTGAGCTGGCAGCCATAATTATGTCGACTAATCGATAATGAATCCGTTGTTAGTAGAGACAAGTCTGATTCACGTAAGTGGCCAAGTGTGGCTAAAGAGCGGAAGCCAAGTGTAACGGACTGCTGTTGACAGCTCGTCTAGCGATTGCTCTTCAGCAGCTGCGCAATGTCTGCGTGTGCCACCCGTACAGTAGAACCGTTATAAATGGGGATGAAGGGACGCGCAGTAGGTCGGTGCTCCGCGACCGGGCCTAGTCGAGGCTAACGATCCTGTACGACACGTATATTCCTCGACGACACAGTCGCAGCCAGTGAGTCATCACGCTGCCGAGACTGTGTCGAAGCAGTGTTGAGTAGCAGCTGAATCGAAGCCAGTGAGCAGCGTCGAAGCTGAGTCGATGAGACGACCGAATTACCAGGATCCGGACTGAGGGTTCCTGTCCTTTCTATACGTTTGAGCATATATGCAAATTGCAAAAACGCATGTTGGGAAGAGGCTGTGTGTGTGTGTGTTCGCACTTTTTGTCACCCACTTTCACTTCGTGGACCAGAAAAGCTAGAAGGCTGAGACCTTGGGAGTATATGTTCATACCATGCGCGACCCTCCCTTTTTAATATCATCCCACGTGGACACCTGGGTGCCGTGTACGAACGCTTTAAAGAAATATGAAGATTTTTTGGCGGGAAAGCGATCTTGGAAATCAGACAAGATAAAGAGCTGAAACTTTGTATGGATGTTCGTTGTGCATGTATTAGACAAAGATTTCAATTTCAGCTCCCAGGTACGCGTAGTAATCATGCAAAGG